CCGCCCGCTTCCTGCCTCCTTTCTTTCCGGTCGTGTTGCCAGGTGCGCGGTAATGACCATATTTGTATGATCATTTCAACCCTTGTATGATGTAGAATCAATAACAGTCAAAGTGTTCAAAATGTACCCTAATTTTTGAGGCAGTTCATTGATGCAGCATATGCAAAACCCAAGTTATTCTCAGGGAGCCTTAACTGACTTTTGGGTTTGCTGTCAGCACTTCCTTGTGACTGCTTACCTCGAAATAAAATGCTTCAGCTCTGATGACCAAGTGCTCATGCACTGGCTAATTATAGTGAGCGATATAAAGTAAACAAGAAGACTTATTTGCATATACATTTGCATATTTTTTTCAGTGTACTATAGTTTTTCAACAAATATGGTAATTTTGAGCTTCCAACATGATAATTCCATAGTTAAGACCTGGCAACGCTGTTTCTAATTCGTGCTTCAGGAAGGCGCAGGGGGTGCTGCACGCCTGCGGGGCTGGGCTGGGCTGGGCTGGGCTGGGCAGGGAGCAAGCAGAAGTGGGCCCTGGTCCCTAGGTTTCTATTCTACAGGTGCTTCTCTTACACTGTGCCACTGCTCTGCAAGTTAATTTCCTCACTGGTTTTACATTTTCTTTCCACGGGCCCTGACGTGGTTTCGTTTTTCGTCTTAGAAATGCAAAGAGGAAAAACAAAACTGGCTCCACTGGGCTCACTGCATCTGGTTGTGTTTTTTTCCCTCAGATCAGTCATTCTGCTGCTTCTCGAGAGAGACCCCTGCGACCGCTGCTCTCATTAGACAGAGAATCAGTGCCATCTGCCCTACCTGGGAGTTGCAAAGCCATCTCCTGGGAGCGATTGAGCCCATTGCTTCTTAGTGGAGCCCCAGCTGTCATGCGTGACAGCTACCAGTAAAATCATAGAGAAGTAGGGCTGGAAGAGACCTTCAGAAGTCATCTAGTTCAGCCCCCTGCCTGAGGCAGCATCATCCCTGTCCAAACCATCCTATATAGTCCATAATTTAAACTCTTTGTAAGTCTACTGTCAGCTCCAACACAACACAAGACATAAGACCCTAACCAGCCATAAGTAAAGCAGGGGAACCACAGCAGCCAATGTCCTGCTTCTATAAAAGATTGTCAAAACAGTGACAAGAGATCCCAGGTAGAGGGCCATACTCCCTGCTATACAGAAAGGCAAAACCCCCACATCTGTACCAATTTGACCATGGGGTAAAAATCTTTCCTTCCAAATACAGCAGTTGGTCTAAGCGTGAGCAGCGATGCAAGACCCTCTATCCAGGAACCTCTAGCTTTGGTCCCAGCAGGAGCATTGGCTCACTTCAGTTGAAGCCCCCAGCCATGGCTGCAGCCAACACCCAGTGCTTCTGAGGGAGGCTTAAAAACACCCTGACAAGTAGCAGAAAGCGGGGATGGGGGTGACCAGCAAAGCTCAGAAGCGTGGGAAATACCCATAGTAGAACACAGCCATAGAATTATATCATCCCTGACCAGTGGCTGTCCAACCTCTGCTTGAACACTTCCCTAGACAGCCTATTCCACTGTCTCTCTGTTCTAATAGTGAAGAAATTTTCTTAATATCCAACTTAAACCTACTTTGCTGCAAATCCAAAGTATTGGTCTGCGTCATCCTCTCTTCAGCAAGAGAGAGAAAGTGCTTTTCCTCTTCTTTATGGCAGCCATAAAGATGTTTGAAAACTGTTATCATGTCCTCTCTTAAGTATTTTCTCCACAAGCTGAACATGCCTAGCTCCTTCAGCCTTTCCTCCTATAACTTGCTTTCCAAGTTCTCGATCATTTTTATCACCGGGCTCTGGACCCTCTAGCCTCTTCCAGACTTCCACCTCTTCTCATTTTAAAGAACCTCACACAAAATGCTCTTTTGCCATTTGAAGAGAACACAGGAGGAAAAGAATAATTGTTTGGAGCCAGATAGTGAACCCCTAACACTGATCTCATTTCAGTGGAATGATTCCCATGAGTAAGTGTTCACTGATGTGAAAAGGGAGCCATGATTTCATCCCTCATGTTTACCTAGATATGGATCATGATGTCGTCTTTTCTGCTTCTGTAGTATCAGCACAGCTGGTGGGAAGTCTGCCCTTACCCTAGCTTGCCCCTGATGCTGCAGTGACAGAGCAAACGTTGTCACTGTCTACCACATGAAAGCTTCCTCTAGGAGACAGTGCTCAGCACAGCTGCTCAGCAAAAACTTGTTACTGTTCCCTGAGCAGTTTGGAAGGCGGGGTGGTGTAGTACAGGGAAGAGTAGGTTTATGTGGAACTAGGTTAACTGGTGTCTGAAATTAATAATACCCTTAATAATGAAGGCCAGATATGTCACCTCTAGGTCTCTGGGGCTTCCTTAGGACGATGGAGGATTCAGACTATCTGTCAGCTCTACAAATCTATCTGTAAGATTTAATTAGCTAAGTAACAAAGGGGAAATTCTGTGAGTCAACTACATATGAAACACGTACAGGCAAAACTACATCCATTAGAGCAACATGATTTTCCGAGCCACACTGGGACTCCAGCAGGATACTTTGAACTTACTGGCTGCTTTTGTCCAAGACTTTCTTGCCTCCCAGCCCTAGTTCGCACCCTTTTCAGGACACATGCTCTTCAGGGTAGGCAGCTTTCCTGTTAGCAGATTCAGCATCAGATTCTTCTTGGGCAATTTGGCTGTTACCAGGAATCTCACTTGTCAGTTCTATGGCACATGATCAAACAATATACCTATCAAAATCTTATCACTACATCCTTGGCTTCATCATGTCCCAGTCACTCCCAATTACAAACTACTTTTCCACCATATGTGTGGCATTCGTTAATAGGCAAATATCACTAAGATGTAACTTGACTTAAATGGCTTCTTGCAGCACTTTCCACTGGCCAATGTATGCTCTCCCAACAAGGTAGGAGGTGAAGAGTAATCTCTGCAGGAAATGCTGAATTGAGTTCTCATAAAAGTGGATCTGGTATTCTGTTGTGGTAACAGGTAGCACTCCTTCACAGTGTGCAAGGCAACCCAATTGGGTTTACAAAGGTTAACTCTACTGGGACACAGCAACAGGAAATTCCATGGGATTGTGCTACACAGCTGTTTATGCAAGAAGGTTTTTCACTTTGACTGGAGTGAGAATCATTTAAGGCAAATTCAGAGCCTGGGATTTCTCCTGGGTTAATGAGGCTGCCTGCAGTGGAAATAATAATTCTCTGCTGACATTTAACCAGCTTGCCGAAAGGACTTTGTTACAGTGAATGCAGCTTGTGCTGATATAACCCAAGAGGCAATGCTAAGGTCTACCCACAGACCAAAGCTATTCTTTTTCCACATGTGTGTTATGATGAGCAAGTGTGGTTTTCATCCTGACCATTACATGCAGTTGCTTGACCTAGTTTTGAAAGACTATGGTTAGAAATAGCTTATAACACCCAAACCACCAGAGAAGAGGAGGATGGGGGAAGGAAGGATATAATATTAAAGATCAGCAATCACATTTTCAAAGTGGCATCATTCTGGTCTTTAAATGTTTGCAGTCAAAATGGCGCAGAATTTTCAGGGTGCGGAGTTCAGCACATTGGATTCCCAGGTAGCCAGTGTTTGAGATGTTGTGAAATCTTGGGCATCCTCCATGCATCCAAACGGCTTGGAAATATACTTTTAAAAATACTGAACCATTATTTAAAAGCACCTCTCTGTGCTGAGGACCTACCTGAGGAAGGACATTTTGTGCTAAAAAGCTTATCTAACTTCTCTCACAAGTATACATACCAAAGAAAGCTGTCATTACACTTACACCTCACAAACCTTGCTTCCTCCATGGTCAGAACAGAAATCAGGCTAGCCTCCATGTGTAGATTAGTACCAGGATTCCTCTTGGAGTTTTGTGATCCTTCTGGGGCTTTGATATCATTTGACAATCAGGGGTTAGGGCTGATGTTTCCAGGAAATGAGTGTCTGAGTTTTCAGTGCAAGTGGTGGAAGCATCCGTGCAAGTTGTAATAGGCTGTGATGCTGATAGAATAACATGATCAAAGTATGGCACAGGACAAGTTCACTGCAGAGTAAGAAATCCAGTGAACCAGTCACATAGGCAAGATGTGACACCAGCAGCCTGAGCTACAGAGAGACATCTCAGACAAGTCTGGTAATGCATAACTACCCGTATATCTCAAAAAGAGTGGAGGATGTGGCAAAAGTGATCCTACATAAGAGGAGCAGGGTTGGCACTGGTGACATTGACAAAAAGGCCTGGGGCAAGCACTAAGAGATCAAACACAACATACGGCTTGTGAATGTCCAGTGAATGTGC